AAAACTAGAATGGAATAGAGAATTACAAAAGCAAGTATTTAGCCACAATTGCCCCCCCCAAAAAAGTTTTAAAGAAAAGAGCAATTGTAGCCTGCGGTAACTAGAACATGCCTGAAGTGACACGTAGGTGCACGTACTCAATTAACCTGTCTTCTCAGTATAAGGTCAATACTGCCAAGTTCATCTGTGACAATAGCACTTGGAGTCATACCATTGCCTCCATTATTGATCTGATCCTCCTCAATCCTCCTTTTGACAATCCTAAAATGATTGACATGTGCTCCACAATCCTTTAATCCAAAGCATTCTTAATCCATCTCTTCAGATATGTCTACAGAAAGACACACGAAAAGGCAAGATAAAATATAAGATCCCCCAGAAGAGACAAGTTAGCCACAAACATCCCAACATCCCCAGCTCGTATAAACCATAGCTGAACACTGAGACATTTACACAGCAATACCACAGTTCGAAGAATGTTGGTATTTAACTATAACTAAATTGAAACAATCCTGACTGACATCAATTAAAATACAATTTACCAAAGACATGAGGGGAATGTTGATGTTAAGGAGCAAATACTCACTAGGGATTTTACACAAGAATGCAATTCAACACTTCAGCCAATTTGAATAAAACAGTTTGAATTAAAAAAAAAAAATGAAAGACTGTACTAAGTAAAGGAAAACTGTGTACAACATGGGGTTCTACAAAAAGATCAGAGCTAGTGATCATTTATGTACGAGATCGGGATCTGCTGTGGCGGGGAGAGTAGCGTGGAGATCCTCTGCTTCTTCTTGGGGAATAACTGCGGCTTCTGCTGTTGCTTCGACTACGGCTTCTGCTACGACTACGGCTGCGTGACCGAGATCTTCCATAGCTTGGACTTCTTGGGCCATCAACTTTAACACGGATGTAGGCAGTTTCTCCCTATTGAATAGACAGAACTTTCGATTGAAAAGTCTAGGCTTTAGGGCCATCTTTTTAGGCATGCTGACAGACTGAAGATACCGTTTACTACAGCACGGAACTAGACATCAAAGCTTTAAAGTCTATCTCCTGACAAACTGACCGCAGACTTATTTAGCTGCTTTGTATCTGGCCAACGAACACCACACGTTCCTTACCTTCAAATCCTACTGTTAAGCCCCTTGTATCCAATTCTGGCCAAAGAAAGTAAGTATGAAACCTACCTCATGAGATCTAAATTTAGTGTTATCCAGTTTTCGCACAGCGTAGGTCATATCTTCCTTCCGTACAAACTCCACGACACCAGTGCCATCTCGGAAAACATCAGCATAACATACATCACCTGCTTCACGCATGTGATCCTTTAAATCCTGCCAACTTCCACTTGGAGGCAGCCCTGTAGAAAAAGCAAGACTTTACTTTAAAACCAAATTATTGTCTCACCTCCTGTAGTTATAGCGTCAGCCAGCAGCAAACAAAACAAACAGGCTATTTAGCAAGCAGACAGGCTGCCTCGAGGAGCTGTTTGCATCCGACGGACAGCGTTCCTCCCAGGCGATGCTTTTTAAGAAATAACTTGGAGCCGCGTGTATCCCCCCCGCCTCCCCTCCCCATCGCTGGGAAGCTTGCCTGGAGGACCCCGGGGGAGCACTTGGGCTAAAAGAGAGGAATGACTCACCCGAGACGATCACTCTGTACTCCGAGCGGCGGGACGGGGGGCCGTACCTGCCCCGAGGGGCTCCACCCCCGCCGCCGCCGCCGCCTCCTCTGCCGGTGCCCCGGCCGCTCCGAGGGAATTCCACGCGGAGGCGATACCCATCGTAATCGTAGCCGTCCCGCCCGTAGACGGCGTCCTCCGCGTCCCTGCGAGACGGGACGGGGCGGTGAGGGCGGCCGGCTGCTCCCCCCGCCACGCCGCGCCCTGCCCACGCACCGCCCGGCCCGCCCCACCCCCACCCCCCCCCGCCTTTGTTCCCGCTTCCCGCCGGCCCCACCCCGCGCGGCCCACGGCAGCGGGGCCGCCACCCGGGGCCCGTTAGCGCCGATACACGCGTGGGGAGAGGGAAGTCCCGGGAGGCTGCCCCCCACCTCAGGCCCAGGTGTGGGGAAGGGGGGGGGGGAACGGACCCACGGACACCCCATGGGCCGCGCGGCCTCTCCCAGGGTGCTCACCTAGGGTCCTCAAACTCAACGAAGGCGAAGGGCGGGCCCCCGCGGCGGTTCTTGAGGTCGATGTCGCGGATGGCCCCATACTTGTAGAAGACGTCCTCGATGTCCTTGGTGCGGATGTCGGGGGGCAGGTTCCCCACGTAGATGCGGCAGTCGTTGTTGCCGGCCGGGCCGCGGATCACGCCCCCTCCGGACATGGCGAGGTCGGCAATGGCTGCGGCGGTGGAGGGGCCGGAGCGCGGAGAGCGGGCGGGCGGGCGCGGGGCCGGGCCGGGCAGCGAGGAGCGCACACACCGCCTCCCCCAACAACCGCTTCAAAATGGCGACGGCGGCTCCCCTCACGCTCCGACTGCGCGCAGCGATTTCACCCCGGGGGGGGGGCGCAGCGCCGCGGTGGCGACCAACGCGGTACCAGCACCTTCCGCCGCGCCCTCAACCCCTCCGTCCTGCGCATGCGCGGCTCCGGTGGAAAAGTAGTCCCTCGGCTCCTCGCCCCGACTAAAAAGCCGACCCCGCGCTGGCGGCGCGGCCCCGGTGTGCGCGGGTGCGGAAAGCTCGCCTCCCCCGCAGATAAAGCCCTGCGGCGGCGGAAAAAGGCGCTCCGCGGCCGCGGGTTTTACAGCGGCAGGCCGCGTGGCGTCACATCCGGTGCGGCGACCGCGCCAACGAGGCCCGGCCCGGGCAGTGGAGGGGGTGGGGGGAGTGGGGGTGGTGTATCCCACAATGCACGGCGGCGGCGCTTGGCGCCAAGGCGTGGGGCGCTGTCCCACAATGCGCTGCGCGGCGGGCGGGCCGGGTGCGGCGGTTGAGGGGGATGGCGGCGGCGATGGCGGGAGGGGGGCGCGCTGTGCTCCGAGCCTAAGGGCGGCGGCCGTCACCCGGGGCATAGTTGTGGCTGTGGCCGGTGGTGGCCGTGTCCAGGGGGTGTAGGGAAAAGGGATCTGCCCGCCTCCCGGAGGGGTGGGAGGGGAGCGAGTATTGGTTTGTACCCGTTGAAGTAAAATGGCTGTCCTGAGGGCAGAGGGAGCTCAGCTCAGGCCCGAGCCAGCTGCTTAGCCGTGCAAGCACGCAGCTTACGTATCTCCTTAAACGTTAAAATTAAATTTTAGGGATATCGCAGGTTTTTATCCCCTCACACTGCTCACCCATTTCTGAACATTTCATCGCGGTCCTTCGGGACTACTTTCACGATCTCTGGAACTCAAATGTGCTTTGCAGGCTGAGCATGATGACTGGACAAAACAAACCTTAAGAATGTATCTTGGTTTGTATCTATGTAAGTTAATAAGAGTGGAGGAACAAAACATCTGTGGTTGAGGCAAAATCACATCTCAAGTGGACACACTGGTGAAAACATTGTCTCTTGAGGGTGGGTGTTCCCGCAGAAGCCTGTGCTCTGGTGTCTGCAGAGGTGTAATGTAGAATTACATGAGAAATACGTATAAAAGACAGCAGGAAATGGTTTCCTGGGGAAGAAGCAAGAAAATAATGTAGAACTATTGGTATGTTTATGAGATTATAATTTAATAAAGTCACTTTAAATAGCCTAGAGTGTTGCAAGGCCCCAAAAGATGTGTTCAGGCAGTAAATGGAGCTCTGGGTGGACAAAGGGCTGTAGCTCTTCCTTGGAGTGATCCACCTCGCCCAAACCCAACGCGCCTCATTCCTTCACTCACGCCTCACTGCTTGGTCGCAAGTTGCTTTTGAAGTGAGAATTTTTTGCATGATCCACTTGACAGAGCAGAGGGACACTTCTAAAGATGTTTGAAATCATTGTACTTTCACAGTCAGGATGTCATTTATCCCCTGGTATCTCTTATATTGGCACAGGCGAATCCACGTGGTTCTGGAAAGGGTGACTAACCACTGTGATGGGGTTAAAGTAGTATCTGAGTGTGTGTAGAAAAAGCCTTTAGGCTCCTAAGTTAATTAAAGGATTTTGAAAAATGTGTCTTGCCTCTTCACTGGAGTGTCATGTATATTTCATTTTTCATGTGTTAATTAAAAATGCATATTCCTCTAGAAAAACAGCAATCCTCATGACTTACAATTAGAAAAATATTTTCAGTATAACGTCATAATGTGGTTGACTGTTACAAATGCCTTTCATTTTTCTCTCGTGTAGGTTAAAGTACAGTAGTGCGCTCTAGTGATTTTTAACATTGGTAATATCTATGTTAGATTGCTAGTGGTTTAAATAAAGACTGCTATTAATCACTGAAAGATGTTATGAGAAAGCCCGTCTTCAGAAGTGGTGGTTTGTGAAGTATAAACTACGGAGTATCTGGGGATTTTCTACGTCTTTGAAAGAGTATTATGGTTTCACAATTCTGTTTGTAGCGGAATATGAGCTGGCGAGGCGGTGACTGCAGTGCCCCTGCGGTTCCAGCGTTGATCTACATGACTTCAGTGGGTGCTTTTGGTTAGATACGTTTTTTGAACCATCACAATTTAACAAGCTAATTCAGTTATTTGCCAGCTGAGTAGAAATACTTGTTGTGTATAAAAAGAAAAAAAAGAACAACTCCCCACAAAAAAACAAACCTCAAAGACCCCGTATGTGCTTTTCCCAGGTGCAGGGAAGGCTCCATCCTTTGCCAAGAAATTAGTCTTTATTTTCAAAGGCTTATTAAAACTGCTGAAAGTTAATCTTAAAGGCATCATAAAATAATGGTGAGTCTGCCTAGTTTGCAAAAACCCTATTGCGTAATTTCTTTTGTGTGTTAATAATCCTTATAACTGCTTTAAATGATTGCCTTAATTACCTTAATGAAGTGTCTCTTTATAGAAATATTGAATGTTTTCTTCCTCATTATCTTTTTTAGCCCTGTGTTACCAACAAAGTGCTTAAAACAGTTGGATAAGCTGCAGAACATTTATTTGTTTTGTCAGAGTCACTTTTGGCTTTCTGGCAAAATGTATATGTGTAGAATCATTAAACATTAATTATGTAGAAAATAAATTACTGGGAAGGAAATGGCAAATAATCTTGCTAAAGAAAAAAGCCAACTACTCTAATATGACAAGCTTTCGTTCTCAAAATGAAAGTAATGAAAAACAGGGCTTTCCAACTGATAATATTGATGAATAATGCAAGTATGAACGGTGTAAGCCAGTGTGGGAAGTTGTCCAGGTGCAGATGTGCGGGAGAGCGCTTTGGTACAGCCGCTTTAGGCCTTCTCACGTAGCGAAATTAAAACAACAACTGTGGTTTGGCCCTTTCTGGCATTTTCTCAGCTTGCCTCCGTCCCCAGCCCTCTTCCTGCCGTGTTAAAACGTGCTCTCCCTCCTTGCAGATGCCCGCCCCGATGCACAGGCAGGGTCTTTCCATGCGAAGATACTAAAATGCTTTACAATGAGAGTCACGGTTCATTTTTCTTTATGACTGAACAGAGGCTTTGGGAGCGAGAGCTTTTCCCCAGCGGAGCCGGCAGAGCGGGGGCCGCAGTTCTGCCCGCTGCCGCGCGCCTGCCCCCCCTTTCCTGATCCTCAGCACCCAACCATCCAGCTGGGATTAGTCGTGACTAATCTTTACTCTGTTGTAAAATAACAGTTCATCAAAGCTCGGATTGTTTGGAAGAAAAGGGTCATTTTTAAAACGCTGTCCTAAGTTGTAACATTTTTTTTTGGAGAGGTAAGCTTTGACTTGTCCAAACTTGCCGTTTCCTCCCCGTAACAGCCATTCTGAATATGCTGCTTGAGGGGTTTCTGTTGGCATTTCAACAGCAACACGGAGTCGCAGCATGGATGGTGTCTTTGGAGCTTGAAATACAAAGCTGATATTTTGGTGCCCTTCTATTTTAACTGGTACTTCAATGTTATCCAAGTTATTAATTTGCACGTAAAAAAAAAATGCAAAAATACACCCTGTGATTTTTGTCAGAGAAACTCTCGAGGACATCGATAAGACAAGGAAAGTGTGTGTGAGTTTGAAAATATTTCCCATAAAAGCAGATGGTGGCAGAGCTCGTTTTATCTATGTGGATTTGTATGTAAGCAAAAAGATTTCATATGCACATGCTGTAGCATGTCCTGTTGCAGACAAAAACCACAACACACTCTGACAGGGTGAATTTTTCCTGAAAGCAGCCGGAAAGGACACACAGAGGTAGGGCTTTAAGGAAGAAAAGCCACCCAGAAGAGCAGGCGGCATCGACAGGTATATTCCACAGATGACACTTCCCAACTTCATATCACGTCTAGAAGATGTTGTGAAAATGCTCGGTTTTAGAAATATTGTAATGTTGCTCTTTTTTTTCTTCATTTGAGCAGCTACACCGCTACAGCCGTTACGCACGACGTGCTCGGGGGAGCCGACAGCCGAGCGGGACCCCCGGCACAGCACCACCAGCCCTCGTCATGCCGGCCTGCCTGGGGGCACGAGGGAGCAGAATCTAGTTACGTCGTATGTGGTTACTTGTCTTGCTAGTAGAAATGAAAGGTGAATTTAAAAAAACAAAAAATAAAATAAAAATTGGGGGGGTTGATGTGATTTCTGCTGTCTTGTTTTTATGTTACTCTGATTTTCAGTGGCTGGTTTCACCTTTGATTCCCACATCTGGGGGTGGGGAGGGGAACAGGCAGTGGTTAGCACAGACTGAGAAGTTTAAATGAGCCCCCCCCCCCCCCAGCTTATTTTAATTAATTTCTTTCCCTGACAAAACATTTGTGTCCGTACAGGGCTCTGCAGCTCCGTCTGCCCGCTCCCCGTCGCTCCCTGCCTCCCGCTCACTGAACGCTGCAGCAGCCGGTTTCGTTGCTCTTCCCTTTCCCTGCCTGGCGGCATCCACAGCCTGACGTGGACGGAGGAAAACGAAAGCAAACTGTTAAAGAAAATAAACCTGCTAAGGAATACGTAAGTGAAAAGGAGTGTAGCCCTTGGAGCTGCTCATTTCGGAAAGATCCGTGTGGTTAGGCGGAGAGTGGCTGGCGAGGGTTTCCCCTGCAACCGTTCCCTCGCTCCTTTTTCTTTGCTGTTTTTATTTCTCTGTCCTTTCCCCTCGATGCCTTCGCGCGCCCCGGCTGTGCTGGGAGCTCGCCGGCCCCGCTCGGCACCTCCTTTCCCACCGCTTGGTTCTCGGACTCGGAGCGAACGATGCTGTCCTGACACAGGGAACTGGAACCCTGGGGAGGTGACGCCAAGCGAGCCAGCCCTGGCAGCACGAGCCCCGTGCCGCAGGGCTTATTAAACCGTCAGCATTTTCTACGTATCCAATAGAGCGGTAGTTTCTTCTTTGGTGTGTGGTGTCTGTCCCCTTCCCCACGTGGAGACCGCAGGGCCGTGGCACAGCCGGGCAGCGAGAGCTCTGCATTTAGACATCCTGGGGGACGTCTTCGTGGCGGCCGTGCCACCGAGCCGAGCCTTGGGAGCATGGGTAGAGCTGAAGCTTTTTGTTCTCCAAAAATAACCCCGATTTGCTAGGCCTCAGTGGTTTTTAAAAGGAGGTTTTCCATTAGCTGTCCATCGGAGAGCCGCTGGCAGCGCTGCCGATGTCCCCGCTCCCTCTGAAAGGCAACAACGGGATGCAGCCCCCTGTGGCGTCAACACGGGTTCGCTGATTTTTTTAATACAAGGAAATAGAGTAAGTGAGAAATGCATTAATATTTGTTTCAAGCAGACTATTTTTAAATACAAATAAAGTTTTAGGAACTGTTTCGTTGACATGCATAACAATGTAAACATGTGAGAAAGGCGAGGGATTGTGATAACCTCTTGAATGCAAGAAGTCACGCAGACCAAAGAGTGACACCGCACCATATATTTTTACTGTCTGAGCAAAATTAAGGGCAAACAAATGAGGAAAAATAAACTAGACGTTTACAAAAGGCCCAGGGTGGGAGCAGTGGCTGAGTTCCCGAGGAGTTTGCCGAGCCCAGCGCCCCGGCTAAAGGGCCTGTTCCTGCTGGAAATCCTGCTCCACAGCATTTTATTACCCAGATGTTCCCCGTTTAGGAAACCTCACAGTTCATATCCCATTCTTTCTTAAAGAAAGTGAAAGGTACAAAATCAACTGCTTTTAAATTAGCAAGTTAAACTACATAGTCAGAAATTAGGAGTGGAAACACCCCGGCTATCTTCTACCAGCAGCGGCTGTCCTTCACTCAGCTGTGTGGTGCAAACTAAAAATGGGACAGTTTTCATTTCTCGTATGGTACCTGACTTACCAGTACCGTGGTAGCCCAACTAAATTGTGAAATACAAAGAAGAAACCGGATTATTTTCTTTTTTTAAAATATGTCTTTTAGGTGCAGTTGCTTGAGGATACAGTAAATAACAGTAGCAGAAGATCATTGGATTTCACAGGCAGCACCCAAGCATGAACATCGAATATTATTTTGATAGCTTCCCAGGAAGCATATTAACATTTTTATTTTCTGAAATACCACACATGAGCAAGAAAGGATCAAAGGAGCAGCGAGCTTCATGGGATGAGGAGGCCTGGGAGAGCTGGGCTGGCGAGGGCGGGGAGCCGCAGCACCAGTAAAAGCCGCGTTTCCTCCATGGGAACCAGTTAGCTGTAAACCCAACGCTTTGGGTAACGTTGTGGTGTATCAGAGGATTTTACTGCTTCCTTCATTCGCCTTTCCATAACAGAGGTTTTCATTAGACATCGGAAGCGGCGGCGATGCGTTGCTGGGATGTGCACACACACACACACGTTGCTTTGAGGTCCATCAGATTTCCATTACGGCCCGTGAGGCTGCAGCTCTCTGCCCAGGGCCATCCCCTGAGAGGTTTTTTTGCTGTTAACAGCAGAGGAAGGAAAAAAAAAAATATAAATGTGTGCTGCCGGTCCTAGGGGAGAACATAAAGCAGTGCTTCCATCTACTTTTGTTTGCTTCGAGAGCATCAGAGACATCAGTGAGTACTTTTTTTCCTCTAGGGCTTTTTTTTTTTAGTTAATTATTCTCCTTTTTATTCCTCCTCACCCTCCCAAGCAGAGGGCAGCTTTTCTCCCTAACCGATTGTTTGCCTGTTTGGAATTAAACACAAGCTGAGCACCATGATGGACTGGGGCTGAAGTGCCCCCCTCCCCGAGCACCGGTGAGACTGGGCTGAACTGGAAATGCACCTTCCAGACACCTGCGTTGGTGGTTTCTGCCAAGGGCACGGGTTTGGCTGCAGCTCCGGCAGCGGCACGGCAGCCTGGGGAAACCCGCTGGCTTCTTGGTGCTCCATGGCAAAGGCGGACGTGTTCGACGGCGGTTGACGCGCAGGCTCGAGGACACGTACCGTCTGCGCAGAGCTTTGCTCTCCTCCCACAGATCTTTCCTTGCCGTGGGACCTCAGCAGCTGTTACGCTCCCTTAAAAGCACCACCACCTTGGCAAACTTTGGCAACGTGTATTTTGTTCGCTAGAAACCTCTAGTCTTCCTTCGCCATGAAATGCATTCCTAGCACCTCCTCCCCGTATCGCCGGGAATAACTAGCACCCCTCAGACTGGGGAATTCCCCCAGGAATTCCCACCCCAGGGGGTGCCGGGCAGGGGATGGGGTGCACTCACAGCCCCAGGCGTGAGTTACACCTCAATAAATCATGTCTGGGCGTGTTTCACTGCATGCAGGAGAGGAAACCCCCAGCCCCGAGGCCAGCCTGCACCAGGCTGCTCGGGGGGGCCTGTCCCGCTGCGAGGGGCTCCCCAAGGTCTGGGTTGTGTGCTGGAAGGATACCACAAGATTTCCTAAGTGGTAAAATACCAAAAGCTGAGTTTTCTTCCTGCCTGGAAACTGGAGCTCTGTGCTTTTTGAGGAGGTGCTGTGGCATTTAAGGAATATCTCCCCAGCGTGGATCTGTTGTGGTGGGTGATGTTCAGATACTCGACCCTTCTTACGCAGGGTATCGCTGCCAGGAGGAAGAGCCACATCACTGGCAGGAAAACAGGAATATTCCCTGCATCCCAGCAGAAGAACCGCCTCGCACTTAGGCTGGAGATGCAAGCAGGGTTTCAGCTGACTGTTTATAAATAAACCTCTTGTGCCTGCAGAAGGCCCTGCCGCTTTCCACACCGGCAGGCTTGTGGCAAGAGGTGAGTCGAGTCCAAAGGGTGGTGGGATCAGAGCCACTCCGGTTTAGCATCGCTTACTTTCCTGGCTCGTGCTGGAGGTGGATACGGGCTGCGCTCCGCTCCGTCGCCCCAGTCCTGCCCTCGTGCTGTCGCTGAGCCTTCGGGGTGCTGCCGGCGAGGAGCTGGGCTGTGAGCAGAGCTCCGCGTGAGGACAACCTTTCCCCCCGCTGTATTTCCGAGGCAGATTAAGCGCTAGACAGAGTAGTCTGAAGCATCCCTCTAATTAAAACAAAATCCCTTGTGGCCTCTTATGTATAGAGAGATATTACAGACTTAAGGGATGTATAAAATGTATACTCATTGATTGGATCAACTGTTGCAGCTCCTTCCATATAGTCCAGTGAGAGCATTAACGGACGACTGACCGGGCTGGCAAGAAGAGCAGGGAAGGGGGGTATGGCCAGTGCTTTCACAGATGTCAGCTCACTCGCCTCCTGGCCCACCACCTGTGTCACGGCAAGTCCGTGAATACCTGCCTGGGGTATATGCATAAAAAATTTCTATACATTGCTACCTAGGTAGGCATCGCCTCCAGCACCCGTCCTGGGAGCCCCTCGTTTCTGGTCCTGCTTTGCCAGGCTGGAGCTGGCTGTGGCGCGGGACACGCGGCCGGCGCTGGGCTCCCACCACCGCCCGTTTGCCGGCTGCGGGTTTGCAGAGTTGTGCCCACGGTGGGTTGTTTCTGCCCGATCTGCTTCTGCGGCCGCTTGCGATGGCCGTTTTTCCGATCGCGGGAATGCAAGATCATTTCTGGTAAAGCCTCGGTAGTGATCGAGGGATGTGGTTTTCAGTGAGAAACAGCCAACCACTTGAAAGCTTTTGCAGGCTGAGATTTTGTGCTTAGCAAGTTGCTTCACCACAGGCTGAACCCCAAGAAATGTGAGTGTGTAGTAGAAATGTCTGCAGGCCTGGGTAAAAATGGAACTGGCAGATGATGCTTTAACTTCCACAACGTAAACATTACAGAAAAATAGTGTAAATACGGGGGATTCTATTTTTTTTTCCCTCATTTTTTCCCTCACGCAGGCCAGGAACTACTAGAGCTTAAATAAATCACTGCAGAAGTGAGACTGACCTAAATCGTTTTACACAGCGGAGACCTTGTCTCCTGCTTTTGGAGCTTCTCGTATTTATGCTGTGCCAGAACAGAGTTTAAGTTGTCTGTACGGCAGTAGCTGCTTCCTACGCCACGGGGAGCTTGGGGGAAGGTGTGAGATCGGCTCGCGTGTGGCAGCAAGGCTGCTGGGGAGATAAAACCACCAGCTCACGCGTGCAGGGTATTTTTGGTGCCGCACCGACCCGTTCTTGGCACTGGCAGGTTTCCCTGCCCCTGCGTGGGGCTGCCGCTCTGCATGGCTCTGCTTTGCCTCTGCATGAGCACCCAGCCAGGCCATGCATGAGTGCCTAATTAATTCAAGCGTTAACTGTCTAATCAGTGAACACAGAAGCGCCCTGTTACTATACATTTGAGCGCCCAAGGAGTTCGTGCATCAGCACCCAATTAGTTCATGCATGAGTGCCCGCCCAGTGCACGCATGAGCAACCCAAAAGATCCTGCATGGGCGCGCAGTGGACCTGCACACAGCTTCACAATCAGTTCACGCACGAGTGCAGGATCGGTCCACGCATGAACGCCCAGTTAGCGCATGCATGAATGCCTAATTACTGTACACATGAGCCCCTAATTAGTACATGCATGAGCACCCAAGTAGTTCATGCATGAGCGACCAGTTATTTTGCATACGAATGCCCAATTAGTGCGTGCATGACCGCTCAATTATTTCATGCATGAGCACCAGGTGATTTACATGTGATTTCCCACTTGGTTCACCTGTGAGCACCCGGCGTGTTCCGGAGCAGGGACGCCCCTGGGGACTGCAGCCCGTGGCTGACCCGCAGCAGGAGGAAACCCCTCACCCTGAAACCAGTCCAAAGCAACCTGGCACCTCCGAGTTCAACTGAGAGCAGAGCAGTGCTCTGCTCGACCACAAAAACCCAACCCTGGCCAGTGTTGTGGCTCACAGGAGAGGTGGAGGAGATGATTAGAACAACCCTTCCAACCTTAAAAATGTAGGAAGCCTTTGACCTGCACGCAGGGCCCCTTGCACGTAAGCCACCTTGGGTTTAGGGCTTGTGGTGGAGCACCCAGCCCAAATGAGAGGAAGGACAGAAAAGAAAAAATGGAGAAACTCAAGGGAAGAAGTCAAATTAACACTCATCCTTAACCTGGCCCTGCAAGCACATCGAGCGTGTGTCCCAAAACCTCCCTGTCTCGTGGTCAGACTGGGACCCTGCAAATCCTGCTGCAGGAGCGAAGGAAGCCACAAGGCACACAGCATGTGGCTTCGACGTGAGTCTTCCTCTGGTGTTTATGTTGTCTCCAAACCTGTCTTTCACTTCGGGAGGGATCCAATTAAAGGGAGTTCCCAGCTCTCTGCATCCAGCTGGGCTGGGAGCCTGGGCTGGGCTGCTGGGAGCTGGGAGCAGTGGGCTGGCCAGCTCAGCCCAGCTGGGCTGCGTCAACCCCTCGCCCCTCCGCACGCACAAAGGCAGTTGTTATGTTCCTGTGCTAATATGACCCCGCCAAGATTCCAGAGAGATGTTTTTATTTATGGATCCTGCAGGAACTGCACACCACAAGTCACTTGCAAAAACTTGCAGAAGGCAGATGACCTGAATACATATTAATAAGGCTCACAAGTCGTTTAGTATTAGTTTTTTCTATCACGCTTGCGGGATGGCAAGGAACACACTACCTCGTGGAAAGCAATGTTTAGACAAAACCCTGCCTATAGCTTGTCACATTTTTAAGCCCATTTGCCTTGGAGATAAGCCCAGGCTGCCCTGCCACGGCGCCGTGCTGCAGCTGCCTCCGCGCCGGGACAGACCCAGGGGAGCCAAGACGCGATAGCTCCATGCATGCCAGAGCCACGAAAGGGCTGTGCCAGCTTTGGGGCCTTGCGTGGCCAGAGGCCGTGTTTGGGGGTTTCAGAGCCCCAGTGTGTGATGCTGATGGGAAATGTTTCACCCAGTCCTGGGTGGTTCTTCCGATGAAGGAGCATTTCTCCCTGTGCCTGCTGCCCCACTGCTCCCGGCAGCAATAATGGGTGGTGACCCCTTTTCCAGCTAGGGAACCTGGGGGACAGCCCCAGGTCTGGTATTTGTGCACTCCGGTCTCACTCTGGACTGAAAGCCTTTGCAGATCAGGCGTGGGGACGAGCTGCTCAGAGCGCCTGGTTCCTATTCCCCGGGGGATGTGAGAGGAACTCATGGGAGACAGAAATGCGCCCAGACTGGATCTGTGCAGTGAAAAGGATGGCAGGTAGTGAAAATGCTTTATCATCCCAAATTTGTGAACAATAAACTGGGGGACTTGGGGTCTGATATTGATGTTAACAGACTGCTTATGGTGATCAAACCCTCAGCATCAGCAGTGGCAGCTCCCCGCTGGAGTTTTATAGAGCATTTCCTTTTATAGGGCATTTTCTTTTTCCACGGGATTTATTCAGGTTCTATAGCAGGGATTCAGGGAGATAATAACGTACATTAACCAGGGCGCTGAAACTGCTTCACAAACAAGATTGATCAAAGCAGCCCCGGACTGATAGCAAACCCCTCATAATGCAGTTTTCAAAACACTTGCCAAAACAATTGACTCTCGGTAAAAAATAACTCATTGGGCAGCCCCAGGAGGGCTGTGGGCAGTAAGGGACCTGGCTCCAGCAGCTGGAAAGTGGCTGGGGACTGCAGTGACGATCAAGGACCAGATCCAGCTCCCCCTCACCCAAGGCAGGGGCTGGGTCTTGGTATCGAGGTGTGAGCACCCGGGAGGAGCCGCCAGCCAATCCTGCCCCAGGGCCGATGTAGGTGCTGGGGTTCCGCTCATCGGGGTGCCCAGCTGTGTGCGGACCCGGCCCCCAAGGAAAGAGCTTGCCACCCCATGGGTGCCTTGCAGGTGGGCTGTCACTTGCCAGGGAGAACGACGTGTTTTACAAGGGGTCAGACTTTGCAAGGCTTCCCCCCCTCCCCGGCCCCGGCAGAAGCTTGAACGTGGGGTTTTGCCGCTGGCAGTGCCTCCCTCTCACTACTTACGTCTCATTTCTGTGCAGTTGCTTCGCAGCACGTCTCTGCAAGATTGGGAGCTGCTGGCTCTTCGCTCGATGCATCAGCCACAGAAGGATGATTATCAGTGATGGTGATGGCACTAGATGAGGAAGAGAATCTGTAGCTGCCCTGGCTGTGATGTTCATGCTCCTGCCACAGCAGGTGGGACCTGATGGAGAGAAAAGGTTTGTGTTGATACGATGAAGTGGCCAAATCCCGCTTTGTGTGGAGCAGCAGCCCTGCTCCGGGGTGCCCGGGTGTCCCTGCTGTGTCCACCCCCCCCAGGACACACAGGGAGGGCAAGGAGGTGAATTAATAAAAGAAAGTGCTTTACTGCTGCTGTTATTTTTATTGATTATTGGCAAAAGAGAGAGGCTGATGGTAGAGTGTGGAGAAGAGGAAGGAGGTGAGCAGGGGTGCAGGCGACACGGGGGAGGAGGAGAGAGGAAAGGAAATCCTGGAAGGAGAGGAGATGAAGGCAACATTTCTACGGTCATCTGCTACAGACACGCACTACAAAATACATCAGTGTGCCATGCAGATGGCGGGGCAGAGCAGAAGTAATGGGCTGAGTTGTAGCAAGGTGGAGTTAGGTTAAATAAGAAGAAAAATCCCCAGTGGGGGATGTTACTGAGGAGGTGCAGCATGGAAGCAGAGCTGGTGTCATGCTGCAGCTGTGCTGTCAGCCCAGCTTTGGGTTTCCAGACCTCTGCGTTTTTTAGGGCAGAAGTGCACAAACTCTGTGGTTTTTGACTCAAAATCGCCTGGGATTTGAAACATGTTCTGTGGGGAAGTACGTGGCCATGGGGCAGGAGGAGCACAGCCTTAGATGGCAAACTGCTCCTCGCTGCCAGGCCCTTTTCCTATTAATCCCTGTGAAGTGCCTTATATAGTGCACTCGGAGGAATTTCTAAATAAATGCTTTTTGTCACTATTTAGGAACGCATCTCCCTCCATGGCATTTGAAGCACTTCCTTCTGTCAAGGCCGTGCTCCTTCACGTGCAAAGAGCAGAGCTGAGCCTGCAGCGCCCGACGGCGGCCGCAGCCGGGGTGTGCTGGGCAGAAGCGGGGCTCCTCCACCTCCTCCTGCTGCTGACTGCTTTGGGGAAGGAGGCAGGACGTAACCGGGATGGGGTTACACTGGGATTACAGAAGCAGCCACCCACACTGGAGCCAGAGCTGTGGACCACTGGTTGTCACCGTTTGGGTTCAGGGCAACCATTTTATACCTCGTCCCTTCGCAGCCAGGTCCCCGGGGCAGCTCCCTCCTGTCCTGGGGTGTAAGTGCCCGTGGGCATCCCCAGGACAGGCAAGGCAGGAGGGAGGCGAGTGCTCCTTCTGCACCCGCTTGCACCGGGAAAATACCAGGAAGTCTGGGGCATGGGAGTGCTCATGGGAAAGCCTGGGGCTCCCATTGTGCAGGACAGACAGGACAAGCATCGCTCAGCAGCTGCCTCTAGCCTCAAAACCTGCCGAGCCCCCATCATCTGCCCCGGCCCCAGCCCAGGATTAATAGTATAGTAAAACCAGACTTTGCGGTTGTCGCTCTATCGCACACGAGGATTAAGCAGAAACTCATGGCAGCAGGAACAGAGACCTGATTTACAACAGCTCAGATCCCTCCCCACTAACGAAGCTCCTTCATTAGTAGGGGATGGTTTAGCAATACAGGCTGGGCAACCTGGCTCCGCCGAGGGCAGTGGTGTCCCTCATCTGTGGCAGCAGTGCTGCGAGCCTGGTGTGGTGGTTGCTGGATATCAGAGCTCCTCGGACGAGAAAAGGAGAGGGTTTCCTCCGCAGCTCAGTGCTGGGGAGGGAGGGAGATGCCTCCTCCAGTGTAGCCAGGTTGGTTCCAGTGCCTGCAGCAGGGCCGTAGCGGGGCTCTGTGCCCGTGGAGCTGCCACCGTGCCTGATGCAAACCATGTCTCTGTTCTGGCCCGGCAAGGCAAGAGCCGAGGCTCTGAGCCTCCCGCTCTGGGATGCTCATAAAAAGATCCACAAGACTCAGAGATTTGTTGCCTCAACAGAGACTCGGCAGAGCTATAAATAGCCCAGCCAAGTGTCGTGCAGCGAACCTGAGCAGAGCTGGCTGTCCTCGTGGCCAGGAGCTCTCAGGAGCCTTGCAGGGACAACTGGCTCTGCCTGCTCTGGCCAGGCAAGCCTAGAGCATACCACAGCCTACAGGGATGTGGGTCTTCCCCATCCCCACTCCCTGGGCTCCTCGTGGGCTCCCCGTCCCCACAGGCACCCCACGGGACTCCAACCTCCTGCCTCTCCCCAAGCTGGTCCCTCTTTGGCAGCTGCCCACCATCTCTGCCCAGGCATGGCTTTTCCTCCACCTCAGCCCCAAGATTGGCACCTCCAACCCCCTCCAGCCGCATGGAGCCTCTGGAAACATCACCACAAAAATATTTACTCCTGCTGCTGCCGAGATGGAAGCTCATAAAGGGCTGTAGCTAAGCCTGTTACTATATTAGCACTGGCATCCAAAACAGAGAAAGGCAGGGGCCTGCCTGGGGGTGGCCTGCAGTGACCCGGAGCACGTTGGTGGGTGCAGGGCATCGCCTGTGTCCCGGTAGGATGGGCACTGCCCGCTCCCCCTCCTTGCAGAGGGAGCAAAAAAAGCCAACCTGCAGAAGCAAGCAAGAAAAACCTCTCCAGGGGTGCAAAGAGACCATCAGTTATCTCCCACAGCAGTGCAGAGGGATCTCAATGTTAATAAGGGTGAGGCCTGAGGCTGTAATTTGATGGCTATGGCCCAGCCCTCGGCTCTGGCCACATATTTATTAATGGACACTGCTGCTCCGCCAGAGCAGCTCTTCGTGCAGCCCCAGGACCTCTGCAGCTCCTGTGTGTGTGGTGTTGGGCAGACAGCAGATGACCTGCAGCCATTGCCTGGCTGATGCACCCAGGTTTTGAGCATTTGAGCTCAGAGGGAAGGCTGCCACCCTCAAATCATCCATCTGAAGGCTGGAGATCAGGTCCCATGCTGCCAGCTGTGATCTTACAAACTTAGTGCCATACAGCCCTGCAGCATTAGTCCTCACTTGTTTTTCTGCTGCTCATCATAAACCTGAAGCTCAGGTCTGGACCCATTTGGGAACGGTGAATATTTTATTTGCTGTTGGGAATTTTGACCAGTGTCTCAGAGGCTGCACCAGGAAATATCCACTTCATTAGCAAAAAGGATCGGCCCATTCCTGGGCTGCCTGCTCACCAGACAAAAGCACAGCCATGGAGTGAACTTCAGCCTGTCCCCCGAGTGCTGTTATCAGCCGTAGGCTTGTCTTTCTTGAGCAATCAAATTAGATAGATTTCAGTACCCAGAGTGGTCTCCCTGGTTCTCAAGGCCACGCACACAATTAAAACCAGTCTGATTACAAGCCAGCTCAGCCCAGGCAGCGCTGCCTCTGTCTTGCTGAGTGTGGGAATGGGGACAACAAGGGAATGGGGACTTTTTTGGTTTGCTGGGTTTTTCTTCAGGTGGCTTCTGCAAAAGGCTTCTTGGCACCTCTGCTCAAGTGAAACGGGAGCAACCAAAACGGGAGCTGGCTGGTGGCCAGCCTGGCAGATGGGCCCGCAGGGGCAGCTGGCGGGGCAAGTGTATGCCCAGAGCACATTTATGGTGCCAGGATCCAGCGCAGGACCCTGTGAGACTTCACAGGTGGGTGCGTGGGCACAAGGCAGCTTACAAGTGGGAGTCTCCTCTGCTGTTTCCTACCCTGAGATTTGCACCCCTCTGCCCCCCGCCAGCCCCCCGGACCCCGCTGCAGGGCTGCTGGTGGCAGGGCTTAGTGTGTTCCCCACCAAGGCACCGCCACACCGCATCAGCCCTTCATCCCACTCCAACAGTACCGGTAGCTGCCGAGTTGCTAAAGCTGAGCTTTTACCACAGCTTTACTCCAGGGAGAGCAGTAATGCGAACCAGGGCATCACACTGCTGTGACAGGCCTTTTCCTGCACTTCGGAGTGAACAGAGGGTTTTTATTCTCCCCTTTGTCCTTACCTTGGCTGTCACATGTAAGTGAAGCATCACGTGTTCTCACGGTGAACGTACGATGGAGCTGCTCCAATGGCCACGTATCACCCCTGAGCACTGGTGCAGGGCCAAGTCTCGGTGGCGCAGTACCCGGGCTTGGGATTTTATCGGCTTTCCCACACGAAGCAAGGCTGGACCCGGCAGGAAAGGGACCTGGAAGGAATTGCTGAGACACGCCTGGAGAAAAGCAGCAGCTCCCACAGGACATGAGGCTGGTGGTTTAGTGAAAGATGCTCCCACCTTTGCTGGGCATTCCCCAAGCTTTGCTGCCAGTATAAAAGCAGGAAAACCCCAAGAATTGAGGGAGCCCTCTTGATGTGTTCAGGAGGGGGAAATCTGCCTGGCTTTGAAGGACAAGGAGAAATGCTGAGTCCTGCGGAAGAAGCTGAGTACCTGCCTGCAGCAGCCTGAAAACCTGAACATCTGTGGACACTGGAGGAGAAGGTTGCATGGACCTCTAGGAGACCTGGATCTGTTCCTAACAGGGCTGCTAATGGCCTCAGGGACCTGTCGCTGTTCACTCTCTTGCCACTGCCTTAGTTTCCTCAGCTGTAAATACGAGAAGCTGCAGCAATGCCAGCCAGCTTGGGAAGGTCTTGCAAGGCCCAAGTGGTCAGTGACCACCACGCGTTTGAAGATCTCAGGTGGACGATGCCATCAAGGTGCAAAGCTGCAACTCCTCACCACCGACAGAACTGCTTTTTCGCTCTTGGGTTGAGCTGCCCGCGCGCGCGCAGCTGCCTGGTGCTGGACCCAGAGCCCCGCGGTGCCCGCTGAGGGGCAAAGCCTGGGGAAGGAGTGGGGGGCACAAGCAGGCCCTGCCTGGCTCTGGGGTCTATCACCAGAGATATGTCCCTGCCCGGTGTGAGGGCAGAGCCAGGCCCAGGCAGGGTCAGGGTCACCACAGCAGCACAGCCCGCTCAAGAGGGGCCTTCCCCAGGCAGTTACCCCCCCAGGGGATCAGCTTCTTCTCCCGAGGGGATGAGGGTCCCCAAAGCGGCGGGGATCCCCCCCAAAAAGCATCGCACCCCCCGCCCCCAGGCCGCGGTCCCTCACGGCACCGGGGTAACTCCCCCCCCCCCACCCCCGCGAGGCACCGCCCCGCCCCGCGCTCGCCCCGCGGCATTGTGGGATGAAACAGGATGTAGGCAGAACAGAGCGGGCGGACAGGCCGGGGCGGCGGGCCGAGCCGCGGCGCAGCCAATAGGGGCGCGGCGTGCCGTGCGGCTCAGCCAATGAGAGGGGAGACGGGCCGCGCGCCGCAGCGGGCGGGGCGGTATTTGAGCGCGGCGCGGCGGCGAGGCGCAGAGCGCTCGGCGCGGCGCAGGGAGCGGAGCGGGCTGGGGCTCAGCGGCTGCGGGCCTCCTCCTCTTCCTCCTCTCGCCTTCCTCGCTGCCTTGCCTCGCCCTCCCGGGGTGGCCCCCTCACTGTGAAGGTGAGCGACTCCCTTTCTTACCCCCACCCCCCGCCTCGTCCGGCCCCGCGGTCACTCCGTGGGTGAGGGTGGTGGCGGGCTCCCCTTACACCGGGGAAGGGGTTTTGCGGTTCTGGCCGACTGAGCGGGCGACTCCAGGTCCCGCTCCCGGCGGCGATCGGAGCCCGCCCCGCCCCGGTGCGTTGTTGGCTTCGCTCCGGGCAAGGTCACCGCTGCCTCGGGCTCCCCCGGGGCTCCCCCCGCCTGCTGAAGGTCACGCAGGGCTCCGGCCCGCACAAGCGCCCGGCTCCTGGCAGCGCCTGGCCGGGCTCCCTCCTGCCCTGCTGGGGAGGGGGCTGTGCCGCACCTCCCTCTCAGGACCCCTCTCCGGCCGCGGTGGGTGCTGGGCTTGGGCCTTGTCCTCATCTCGGCCTCCAGCCTGTGCTGGTGGGGAAGCAGCAGGTGCTGGGCTTGGGCCTCGTCCCACTCTTAGGGCCTCATCCTGCCTGGGGAGGGAGGGGAAGAGATGATTTGTGTCCTGTGCTCGTCCCAAAGCTGCATCTTGTCCTGGGGAGGGAAGGAGTGGGTGCTGAGCTTCAGCATTATCCCCCTCCCAAAGCCCTATCCTGTTCTGCTCGGGGAGTGGTTGGGTGCTGGGCTTGGGCCTTGTACTCCTTCCAAGACCTCATCCTACCCTGGTGAGGGAAGGGTTGGCTGATGGCTTGGGCCTAATCCCCCTCCCAAGGCCTCATCCTCCCCTGAAGTGGCTGCTAGGGCTGTGGTCTTTTCTTCCTCCCTCAGGACCCCATTCTGCTCCGAGCTGGGGAAAGGTGGCTGCTGGAGCTGTATTATTATCCCCTTCCTAGGCCCACCCTGCCCTGGACTGGGTGCTGGGGCTTTGTGATTTTCCTCAGAGAAGGCCAGACCCTGAGGGCCAGCTGTGATCTTGTGGCTTAGGGATAAGACATGTATGGGGTGCTGCTGGGCTGCCTTGTGGGGAAGATGCCTCTGAAACCTCCCCCCCCCACGGGGGAAATGAGCAGGGAGTGGGGCCCTGCTCTGTGGTGTTCAGGTGGGTGGATGGGGGGATGCTCAGAGCTGCTCCCTGCCTCACAGTGGGTGCAGGGGACCCTCTTTCCAGGCACAGCCAGTTGCCAGCTCCTGCTGTGGTTGGCCTTTGAAGGATGTTGTGCCCCGGAGCTGAGGAGGGCAGGCTGGCCAGTGCTTGCAGCTCTGTTGAGAGATAATGGTGGGGTTTCTTTCTATGGCGCTGTTGGCCCTCGGCAGCACGGGCCTGCACTGAGATGCTCCTTGCCTGAACAATGAGGAAGGAAGATGCTTTTTGCAGGTCGCTCTGTGGCCGATTACGTAATGGCAAATACCCTCTGAACTCAGCGTGTGGTGGGGGTGCATGAGGGCATGCTTGTCCTCTTTTCCTAAAAAGGGTTTCCTGGGAGAATGACCCACAAGTGAATTTCTACTACTTCCCTTTTCTGGTGGGCTGGACCCCTAGAAGACTTTCCCAAGGGATTAGCAGATTCTTGGATAGTGAATCCAAACCTCCAGGCAGTTGGTTGGGCTGTTCTGAGCCATGTTTTGTCCTGCCAGGGTTTCTGGGCCACAGGCTAACACCCACTGGCTTAAACCACAACGCAGAGGGGAACAAACTGCCTGGAAGTGGCTTTTCCAGAGCTGTGGTAGGGGTGTGTTCTCTCTGATGTTTGAGCTCAGTTCCTGTCATTCCTCCTGATGCTATTAGTGTATGTTAATAGCTGTGCTTTATTAAACATTGTATCAAAAACGTATAAATTAAGGTTGCAACAGAAGTCTTCAACTGCAGGCAGAGTGAAGAATTGAAGTATTGTAATCATAGGGTTGCAATTATGCAACTGGATTCTCTTTCTCTCTGGATAGCAGGCTCCTTTAATTGCTGTAACAAAGCTACTCCTTCAGTTTTCTGGGACTGTTCCAGGAAGCGATCGTTGCAGCAGATTTTCTTCACTCCCCAGTAGAGCTAAAAATGTGTAGTTTCACTATTTCAAAACATGCTTGGTAGTATCACTCAAGACTTACAGCACTGTAACAGGATTTAGGAAACTTAATGGTGCTCTGCAGGCTTAATTGGAGGCACTCCTTGCCATTAAGAAGCTTATTCCCACAAAGTTTTAATATGCTCTGGTAAGAGCTGCTGCCAAGGTGAGCAGCTGTGGGCCTTCTCAGCGCAGACCTTCGCTTGACCGGGCCTCACGTGTGGCTCGAGCGAGGGGCCTGGTGCTCAGCGGGGTCTTGGAGCGTGCCAACCAGCAGCAGGGCTACACGGGGCTCCTTCCCAGGGATCCTTCCCCCGGGTATGTCGCAGCCTTTGCTTGAAGAAAAGCTGCAGGGCTGGGATTGCCAAATCCCTGTTTTCTAGGATAATATGAATTGCACTAGAAACTTCTCAAATGCCTCCCTGGGAAGGCCATGGCAGATCTACATGTAAATGGAATCAGTGACTGCTGTGAAGCACCTGAACTAATTTAAAGGGGGGCACACACTCAGCTCCAGCATACCACCTTCTAGTTTCTTAAAGGCCATGGGCAGCACTAGTGTGCTGGTTTCTAGCATTTGTGTTGTGGCTCACAGGCAGGGTTGTGGGGAAGGGAGGCCGCTTTGTTGGGCCCTGGCTGTGCTAGCTCAGTCGTGGGGCTGGCCTCCCCTTCTTTCTAGGCTGCAGCATGGTATTAACCTGTTTCTGGCTTGTCAGACCGGCTTTGTCCCATGGGAACAGCTGAAGTCTGGGTTTCAGTGGCAAAGCAGCGGTGAGGTGAGGGGATGATAGTAGGCTGAATGTGGAACAACACTCCTTCCGGGCTAAACTAGCAGCAGTAACTCTAACTCCTGGCATGGGGTGGAATAAAAAGCACTGCTGCTGTTAACATGCTTCGTGAGTTTCCCTGCTGGAGACAGGCAGTCTGGGACCCGTTGCTTGCAAGGCTCTGAACAGATAATGCTCTAAACCACTGGTGCACCTGGAAGGCAAACTTGGCTGTAACCTATTGATGTATAGGAGGGCTGTGGTGCTCTGCAGATGCCGTCTCCTCCCACACAGTAAGCTTTTTCTGCATGTGTTTAATGCAGGTGATGTTGGGCTATCTCTGATCTATCCTCCAGACAGTGCCAGTGCTACAGTGTTCCAGCTGTAAGGGGCACCCTAGCCTGGGACTACTGTAGGCTACCCTGATAAACTCAACTGGCCATAACAGGGGTTTGTAGTATTGGCTTGTGACGCAGCCTGCCATAGAAAGGACAACCTCTGCACAGGAAGCTTCTCTCTTGGGAAGGGATTAAAGGAATCTATGTTCTGCCTTAGGTTCACGATGTCTGACAGAAAGGCTGTGATCAAGAATGCGGACATGTCCGAGGACATGCAGCAGGATGCTGTAGACTGTGCTACACAGGCAATGGAGAAGTACAACATAGAAAAGGACATTGCAGCATATATAAAGAAGGTAACTATGGGATGAGGGGGCTGCTCTGGCTGAGACTTCCTGGAGCTCTTAAGTATGTGTGCCAGTTGTGAGCCTGAGTGTCTGAGACTTCGTACTTGTGTGTTTGGAGGGTGAAGATGCTTCTTGGTTTCACCACTGTTGCCAAGAGGCTGGAGTGATTCTTCCAAGGTCAGAGGAGGGCTGTGGCAGAGCAGGGCCTGGTCTGTTGCTCTGGCAAGCTCTGAGGCAAACAGTGTGAGTGCTGTCCCTCTGGATTTGCCAGCCTAGAAAGAGCTGGCTGCAGTCTCCGTTTAGGACTTGCTTCACAGATGCTGCAGCTTGACTTGCAGTACCAGTGCAGGGTGGGATTACACTCTTTCACTCGAGGGGGGGGGATCTGTGCATGTGCAGTTCTGTCCGACTGTTCCTGGCCCTGGGGTGGGTGGTGTGGAGGAGGATGGGGCCTTGTGCTGGCTGGCAGGGTTGTGAAAGGTGCTGCTTTAAAACCAGTACAAGCAGCTGCCCTGACCTGTGAAGAGGTGTCTCCCCATTTGCAGGAGCCCATTAACTTAAGTCTCGTGCTCGACAGCATCTGGGGAGCTGTCGGTTCCCTCTGTAACCACTTCTCCAAATGGTCAGGCAAAGCGCTTTTGAAAGGGGGAAACTGTGACTGCATAGGCACCCGGGCTGGCTTTTGGGCCTTGCTTGTAATCTAAGCTTGAATGGAAAGGAATCAAAGGTGTCTCCTAACCTCTCGGATCACTTTGAGGCAAGATTTACCTCAAAGTGCTTGGGGCAATGCAGCCTGTAAAGTGAGTGTGTGCAACAGAAGGCATCCAAAAAGAAGTTGGCCTTTATTTTCTGCGAGTGTGTTGGGAGGAGGGAAGCAATTTGATGCACCTTCATGCTTTGGCAAGAAAGCTTTTTCCTTACTTCAAACTGTCTTGTTGCTGTCTGAGGACTAACCCTTGCTTTAATCTTGAATGTTGAGTCTGTTCTGGCCCTGTCTCAGGGGAGGGAAGGGTGTTCTTGGGAGATGGGTATTAATTAGAGGGAGGAAAATGGTCTTTAACCCTATCTTACCTGCTAAGTGGAAGACTTAAGCCAGCATTCAGCTTGCTCTCCTCCAGCTTCTTCAGTCTCCATGTGCTGTCTGGCCTGTGAATTTACCTGCATGTTTTCAATGCAGATTTTTTTTTTTTCTCCCCCCTTTATGTGAAGGAGAGTCCCAAACAGCAGAAGCCAAACTCCTCCTTCCTTTTTTTAGGTGACCTTTAAGCTCAAATGCCTTGTTGGAGCAGACATGCCAAAATCTTTTTTTATTTTTTTTGTGAGTGGGTTTGGAATGGGAGAGGAGAAATATTCCCCTGAGCTAGCCTACATGCAGGGCTTGACTAGCACTGTGCCAAGGAGAGCTCTTGCATCTGCTTTCTGCCCAGGGCCGATGGGTGCTCTGGGTCTGGGGAGATAATTTGCTTGTGTTGGGTCTTTCCAGCAATCCACTGCAGAGGTCCAGTTGTGTCCGTCACTACCTTAATATAATAGTGTCTTGTAGTGGGGAATCTAAAGATGCTGCAGGTGGGAGGAGAGGTGATAGTGAGTGAACAGAACCAGCTAAGAAATTGTGCTTAGAACTATTTTCATGTGGGCTTTCTTGGCCTTAATGCCTCTCTTCTCTTTCTTCAGGAATTTGACAAGAAATACAACCCAACTTGGCACTGCATTGTTGGCAGAAACTTTGGCAGCTATGTAACACACGAGACAAAGCACTTCATCTATTTTTACTTGGGTCAGGTTGCAATTCTTCTCTTCAAGTCTGGATAGGAAGTAGGAGCAAGTGAAATTTGGACTGTAATGCACTGATGGCTGAAGCCACGACTCCCTTTAACATGGCTATGCCGCTGCATGGACTGTATACTATATTTAATGTGTATATGTTGCAGTAAAAATCTACTTCTGTTTAGTTGCCTGGGAAGAAGGCGGCATTTTTTTGTTACTGCTTTTTTTGGTTGTATTGCACTAGGAAACCTGTAAATGCTTAAACAATGGCCTTTACGTGGGAAGAAATAAAACTATTCCACAACAGCTCCCTCAGTGGTAACTCCTTCTTTGAGGCTGGGAAAACTTCTTTGGGCAGGCCAAAAGACCCTGACTTCCTTCCTGAGTTTTATTAGACTGTTAATCTTGTAACGAGGAGCAAAGCCAGTGTAAGCCTCTGTACCCACCCCGCAGACTGTAGAGAGCTGGCTCTCCCAGTAACCTCAGAGCAGGTACTTAGACCTTCCCTGAAAGCTGGTGGGGTGGCTCTTGATTACGTGGCTTTCACACACCAGTTGAACTCCACCTCGGACTGTGATAAACAGACTTGCAGCTGGCACCCTTGGTGTTCTCTTTCAGTGCCCATCACTGTATTTTTGGCTCTGCTGAAATGTTGACCTAGACTTGTAAGCAACTCAGCCTGGTCTAGAAGACTTCAACAGACACCCCCCTGAGTTGCTGCTTGCTGCAGAAAGCAGCATCCTGTGGCTGAAGTCTTTAGACCTCGATCCTGAGATCTAAAGCCACGTGGCCTGTCCCCGAAATGGAGTAGGATATCAAATTGGTGACTACTGACAACAGCTCTATTTGGCATGTTCTTAGCCAGTTGTCTCAACACTGCCTTAACTTGATGCTCTCCTTAAAGCAAGCTAGTCATGTGGAAGACTTGTAAGTGGCCACTGTCTCCTTTTTCTTATTTTCTGTAGCTGATAAGCTATTTCTGGAGGACTGTCCTCCATGTTCTGATATCTGCTTTTGTTCTTAAAGCACAGTACCAAGAAGTTAAATTTACATGTGATGTTTGTGTGAAGGAAACTCATGTGACATCTGCTTCAAAGGCAGACAAATGTCTTGGTCTCCAATAGGTTCAGCAGTGATGTTGTCTTAGTATGTACTGACTCTTGGATTACACTGCAGGAAGTTCTTTTTATCTGGGTGTGGAGAAATGCTGTGTGATGGCAAGTAAATACCTGGTGCTTGTCATAAGGTCTATTTATTGGTTTGCTAACTAATGCATAGACGATATGACTGGGCTGGTGAGCCTAATTTGTGTCTCTGAGATGACTTTGGTAATTAGTCACTGGGGGGAAAAAGGGCAGAGTGAAGGGAGCTCTTCATTGTGAAATGACTTGATGACCCAGGTTGACTACTTCCTGAAGTAAAAGTCCTTCTTGTCTCTGTGCAAAATCCAAAGTATGCCTAATTTTGTAATATTGATAGAACAATGTTGTAACTAGAAAGAATGTAGCTGTCATAACTTCATGTTGATGGAAATGTCTGCACTGGGGTAATGTGCCTTGGGCTGTCCGGGGCACTCTTGTGGTCTTGTCTATTCGGAACTCCACTCTGGATCTGAAAGGAGAATGTTTTGGGCTTGTTTTTTTTCCAAGCATGAGTCTAATGTGAACCTGTTCACAGTCTCTCGTGGAGCAAGATCTGTTCCCTTCATAACTGCAATGGCTCAAATACCATTTATTTTTTTCAAACATTAAAGGTGAATTGACACATTTAAACAGCCTCTAGTTTCTTCTTCGTTGCCAGCTGCCCCAAGCAAAAACCGTGCTTGTCCAGAGAGGGTGAGCAGTGAGTTCTCTACCCTGGAAGCTGCTGATGACCCGAAGGAGGCAGGTCTGTGCTGGTGCTGACCCAGCCTGGCTCCAACCCCGTGCCAGGAGGCGGGATGCTGTCCTGCTGCAGCCCTGATGGGATGCTGCTGTGCCAAGTAACCCCGGGGACGAAGGCCCTGGGGCAACATCTTAGTGACTTCAGACAAAGGGGGTGGTGTAGCGCCTGGGGTCCTGGGTTCTACATGCTCAAAGGTGTTTCCCTGCTTTGCAGGGAAGCAGGTTTACGCTTCAGGCTTCTTCCCTGTGCTCGGTAGAAAGGGGAGATCTGAAACTCTTGCCGGTTGCCTGAAGCTGGTCTGTGTTTAATGCCTCTCGCGCTGCAGGGGCTGTGGGCTTGCCCTTAATCCCCCTTCAGCTTGCTGTCTTGTTCCTGCTGCAACCTAAATTTGAGGTCGTGGCCTTCCCTGATATTTTGGAAAAGCTGTGGGCGCTTCCCAGCTACAGTAGTGTAACAGCTATGCTGGGGGACACCAATGCCAGCGTGAGAAACGAGGGGAAGCTGAGCTGCTGACAAACATGACTCATGCTAAGCAGCCATAAAATGAGCTGATCCCCAAGCGAGCAGCGCGGTGGCTGTTACGCACAGGCAATCTGCTGTAACCTAGACCTGGCAGTGCTGAAAAGCAGGGGTGGTTTCTACTTTAGGAGGAGCTGGGGGTGACGCTCCTCCCTCAGTAGTCCTCACCAGGTTTCTAACTGGAAGTGTAGTTTTGAGGTTTAAGGGGCTCTGCGCTCCTGGCCTGGGTTAACGCCGCGGCTCCAAGAAAACATTTGCAGCCTTGTGGGGCTGGGGTGGTCGAGCCCCCTTGGTGCTCCTAGTTGGCAGAGAAACCGGCTCCTGACTGCCAGCTGGAGCCCGGGAGGTTGCTCATCCAAAACTTTTCCAGCCTGAATTCTGCCTGCGGGAAAACAGCCCTTCCAGCCACCTCTCCAGGGGCTGTGGTGCTGGTGGAAACTGGTCGCAGGTGGGATGTGGAGGCCCCGCCAGGGCTGGAGGGACGGCGTGCCCTGGAGCTGACGCGCACACCTAGAAAGTGGGTTTGATGCTTCCTTGGATGGGTCACTGCGGCAGGAATCCCGCTGGAGGCTAAGGAAAAGAAGCTCTGGCTCATACCTTTAGCAATTAGGCAGTGAAACCGAGCCCTGCTCACCTCTCCGTAACCCTGCACCGGACAGTGGTATTGCAAGTCCTCAGCCTGCCCCTTAAACCATTTTTTGCATAGCACTGGGGCTCGGGAAGGAACAAACTGCCTCGAGTTAAGCAGCGCTTCCCTCTACACGGCTGAGAGCAGGGGGAGCTTTTAACGTGGAGCTCTCTGGCCGCGCTGCCTTCCCCCCCCTGGCTCCCCAGCAGCTGCCTGACACAGCTTTTGGCTTTGACTTTTTCCATTGCTGGGCTCCACTTTGTCTCCAGTTTCCACCAGGCGCAGGTGTCCTGCACGATGCCTTGGAGCGTTAACTGTTTCCGTGCTGGAGAGGCCAACCGCATCCCCAGGACGGCTGCTCGGTTTCAACAGGGGCCTGAAGCTATTTGGAAACATCTGGATCTGGGCAACGGAGTGGAAGGTATGTGGGGGGGGGGAAACATCTGGAGAAAGAAACTGCTTCCAGATGTGTTTGGGCAAAAATGGTATTTAAATGTAAGCTCGGTCTAACTGCCCTGCCTTACAAGCATTTAGAAAACGTCTGACTGCAGGGGAGTCCGGGGTGCTGGGTGCTGCTCGTGGGTGCAGGTCTGGGTGCAGGACAGCGTCGGCAGACGTTGTGTGCGTTCGCTGTGGGTAACGGTGCAGCTCGCGGCTGGCGGGAGCGTCACATTATTTTCTCTTGTACAAGCCAAGTTCTTCAACTCCTCGTGTCGACTCTTGCTTCCAGATGTGGCCTTACAAAAGCAAAGCTTTGCGGCACTGAAGGGCTGCTTTTTGCTAGCTGTGTGTAACTACTAGACGTTACCTAGGATTCATCCTTCTGCAGAGGGAGCGTGGTGTAAAGCCGCAGGAGAAGGTGCGTGGCTGTTCGCAGGGAAAGCTAGCCTTGCTCCCTGTTCCACAACGTTCTTCCCCTTTCTCTGTGACCTCCTGGGACTCCGGGAAGGGACAAAGTGATGGTGACAATCTCCCCCACCCTGGGAATTCCCCCCCAGGGACCAGGCATGGCGCCCTGCTCCCCTGGGGACACCCCAGCTGCTGGTCAGCGCTCTCCGTCCCTCGCAGCCAGCCCGCGGCACTGCCGGTGCAGTGTTGTCTTCCCCACGCACGTGGAAGCAGAGCCTGGCCCTGCTCCACCCGGTACCCAGCAGACCTGACCCTTCGCAAGGCGCTTTTGCGGGAGATTTGAGATGAAGAGAGAAAACGTGGAAATCCTTTTTATCTCGCTTCCAGTCTCCGATGGGTAAATCCTTAGGAGGCCGGTGGCACGCGGTGAAGGAAGGAGGGCTGTGCCATCCCTGCCCACCAGAGGTTTCCCTGCTTTGTTCTATTTATTGAGCAACGATTCCGACGCCCTTTCCCAGACTGTGACTCATAGCAGCGCTGTCTGTGCATAAGCCATGCGTCTCAGAGTGCTTTATAGATACAGGAGCTGCAGGAGCCTTGCAGGAGCCAACTGTGTTTATTAAAAGATGATCAGATGTTTCCTCCCTTAAGGCAGTGTCTAGCTGAGGCTGAGTAATAACTCATTACCAACGAGACAAATAACTGCTTATCAGCAGGTCAGCGACTTCACCAGCCCCTCTGCTAGCGACGGCGGGTGCCATGTGTCTCCTGCACCAAGCACCGGTGGTCTCAGCACCCAGCACGGGGGGTAAGAAGGGAGCAGCCCTGCCAGACCCCGCTCCGGTCCCCGTCAGTTCCTCGGCCAGCAGCCTGAGCAGGGGCAACCCCAGGCTCCGCTCCGCTGCTCAGCAGGGTTTGGCCCTGGGTTAAGCTCGAGGAACAGTTTTATCCGGCCCTGGTGTAGCTCGTGTCCTCCTGCCTGTGGAAGCAGGGTGCTGCAGTGGCCTCGCAGTCCGCCTCTTTCCAGCCTAGTGCTGGGGACTCGGGAGAAAATGCAGCAGGGCTGGGCTGGAGGGGGGATGTGGCGGAGAGCGGGGCCAGCGCTCGTCCCCTTGCTGGGCGTGGGGCTGGGACCCTCGCAGGCTTGGCCGGAGGCTTTCCTCAGACGCCATCCTCCGCTGCGGCCCTCCCCTGCCAGATGCCATGGCATCTCTCCATGTCCTTTGTTCCCTCCCTTGCTTACGCGTCTCTGTTGATTTATGGCCGTTGCGGAGCAGCCCGACCGCAGCTCAGCTGCTTGCCCAGGCCCCGGCTGGGCTGCCTGGCCTCACCCCCAGCCTACCGAGCAGGGAGGCTTTTGAGGAGAGATCCAAGCCCCCAATGCAGTAGGGGCCCCCCCTGCATTTAAACATGTGCATGCCCTTTTCTTTCACCTCCTTCCAGTCTGGGTGTGAATGAAGTGCTTTCAGGGGGAGGAGATTCCTGGGAGCTCGGCTCTCCCTGTGCAATGGTTGCAGCCCATAAAAGCATCCGAGGAATTCGCCACGGCGGTCCCTGTGCAGGGTGAAAGCCGCCCTTTGTTCCCGCAGCCCGGGCAGCTGAGTCCCACACAGGGATGGGGCTGGAATCTGCAGAGCTGGACGCGTGCTCCCGCCGGCACGTCGCCTTGAGCAGCCCCGTCGTGGGTGCCACGCTGCACCGGGGTTGTCGGAAAAGGGTTTTCCCGTGTCTTACCCCAGGCAGGGTGAGCGGTCTGGGGTGAGCAGCACTGCCAGGGCACGATGGAAGGATTTCCCCGGGGTTTACCAGCGGGGTTGAGCGCCTGTCGGTACACACGGTGTGACCCGAGCTTTAGCCCCGTGCTGCTTAAGCTGGGTCAGAGGAACGGAAATCCCTTCTTACACAGATATTTTTCTACTAAGTGTCTGATTGCAGGTTTGGGGGGGGGCTTAATCTCGCGCCCATCTCGCGCAGTTCCCCGCGCCGCTCGCCTGCTGCCTGCCGGGGCTGCTCCGGCAGGAAAGGACGGAGGGCTGACACCGAGCCAGGACGTGCCTCCGCTGCAGCCTGCACACAGGCGGCTGGCGCCCAGCCCAGAACATGGCTCTGGAAAAAAAATAAATGCCTTTTTTGTTTCTGAGGAAAGCCCAGAACGCTTTGAACAAGGACAAAACCTCTTCCTAAATCCGGTTTTAAAAGTCCTGTTTTCTCTAAGGGTTCAGAATGAGCTGGCCCAAAGGGTCTGCTCCTCCGTGGTCCTGGGGTCAGCTTGGATGGGATAAACCTGGGGACCCACATTGCAAAGGTTCCCTCTGAAAGCACAGCTTGCAGGGGGACTGAGGGGTGGCACCCATGCAGCCCCCTTCCTGCAGGGTCCCCACCCATGGGTGCTGGTTGTCCTGCTTGGGTCTCGTTTGCGCTGTAATTAGCGGAAGAAAACCACTGGGTGACTCAGCAAGGGTCAGATGCCAGGATAGGGCTTTGTCACTGTCCTCTAGCAAGACTGACACGTGCAGTTCAGGCAGAGCCTGGGCTGGCTAAAGATACTGTGTTACTTAAATATTTTATAGAAAATCATTAAGCAATTAAATCTGGCGGATCTCGCATCATAGAAAAAGCAGCTTGAAGTCTGTGCAGCAAAGAGGGCAACGCTTCCCCGGTCATTTGGGATATCTTCTTGGAGTCTTAACTCCAATCCTTGCTCAGAATAACTATAATTATCTCTTAATTGCCATTATTGTTTAACATTTTTAGCATTTGCCAGTGCAAAGTGTTACAGTTTTCCATGCAGATACAATCAGTAGCCAGGGTTCACAATGAAAGCAATTAAAATCCCGTGATTATTACAAGCCTGCATGTCTATACAACAGCTTCAATCTGCATAACTTGCCAAGATGTAGGCTAGAAACTAGACAAATTTAGCATTTATTTAGTAACCCAGTGAAGCTACAACCTCTCGCTGCCTCCAATGATTTGCATCTACAGCACTTTTTGGAAGGACGCGAGCATTGAGGGGAGGGGAAAGAAAGCATTTTCTAGAATACATCCCTGGAGAATATACAGCCAAGATAAAATTATGCACATGAATTATGCATATGAATTATGATTTCACTCCTATTTTTGTTGGGATTAGCTCATGTTTGGTGTGCATCCCTGGCAGGTTGCTGGCGGTCCGGCAGCTAGCGGAGCGCTCGCTCCAACTCCCAGCAGGTCACTGCAGTTTCGGGTCCCGCGTTCCCCGCTCCGTGGGCTGGCAGAGCTTCCCGGGGATCCAGCCCCCCCGGCTAACAACGGCAGCCCCTGCTCCTTCACCCCTCTCGGGTCTGGGCAAGTAGTTTTTTTCTGTGCTAATTTATGGCATCTCTTCTGAAAACACACAACGGCTGAAAACAGATTTAGGTACAAAACTGACAAAGCAAGTCTGCGCTGTTTTGTGTAGAGGGGGAGGTGTTTGCAGGCTCCGCTG